GTAGATAAGCTAAAAACGAAAACAGCACTTTTAAATTTCATGCGTCCGAACCGCTTTTCTGGATTTACCTTCATCAGCAACCCCCAAAGCTGAATATTTGAAAGCCAAGGATGTACAAGAACCGAAACACTTGAAGAGCTATTAGTATTTAACATTTTATTGGACCTATATATATAAGTTTCTTTATATTTTTAAAGATGAAAAAAAAACGTGATTTAGGGGCAACAACTCCTGCTAGAAGTCAATTGACAATTTCATTCATATTGACTCCGTGTAGATCTTGTATTTGCCCAGGGCCGTAACTACATTGAGGCAAATGCATCATATTGAAAATTTCGAAAAAAATGATAAGTTGAAACAAAAGCTTGTCTTCATATCAAATTGTTTTCACGGCGAGTATCTTGCATGAAGCAAGTTCTACCCTTTGACGTCGTCCCCTGTTTTTCGGGATCGATATTCCTCATTCATTTTTAGTTTTCAGCGTTGATGGTCGATTTTTTGTCGTTATGTGTCTTATCTGTTACCGGGTGTGTCTTTTGTTCGTTTATTGCCCTTCTTTATGACTATTGTCTTAGTGTTGAATTTCATTTGTAAATTTAATTAGTAATTTTGTTTTAAACTTGAGTGTTATTATATTAAAGACCTTTTGTCTAATTTTAAAACCTACTTTAAATTGTAAAAATATTTGAAATAGACTTTTGAGTAGACTTACGACATGGGAAAGATCAACGATGACGAGTGAAAGGTTGTGTGGTTTGGCAATGTTGCATGTCCACCGATGTCCATATATTGTTCGAAAAAATAGTTTGAGAAGATGCGATGCTACCGGACATAGAAAAATTGGTCGTTTTTTTCATGGAAAATTAAACTTTATATTAAAGAATACAAGACTGGCTCTCTTTTCTGTAAATAAAACTAAAAAGCATGGGTTAAATGAAAGTGAGACAACCAATATCCAGGAATCAAATCATTTAAAAAGAAAAATTATGTATTGCCATACGACCTTTCACATTGAAGTGCTAAACTTGCATTAAGCCGTGTTCAGGCCCTTAAATAGAAAATAAAGGGATATGGAGTAAATGTGCATGGGACAAAATCGCAAACACTACATAGAAAAAGTACAAATTATCAATGAACAGGGTTTTTATTCCTGTTCTTCATCTTGACAGTCGATTGAGGGTCTTCAACAATGAAAGAATCATTCATACCCTACAACAAGGTCAAGACGGCCCCTAGCGTCGAATTAAGCGGTACTTAAAGTCTTGTACTGTGAATAAATTTCAAAGTCACAAAAAACTACACCAAAGTCTAAACATAATACTAGATCCGACATTAATCAGCCGGTACAAAATGTAGCAATGAGGTCTAAGAACAGTTTTCCTGAGTCTACCCTGAGTGTACGTTTTATTCCCGTCAAGAACTACATCAAGTTGTAATTGAAATGCGTTATAAAATCTGAATTCACGATTGGTGCCACATGTGGAACAGAATCTGCTAACGTTCTTCTGGAGCACCTGAGATCACCAATTGTTTTCAGTAAATTTCATGGTAGATAAAAATTAACCTGCTGACAGCTCATCAGAGCTTATATGTTTGTATGTTTTATGCTATGCCGATATCAAAATAATGCTTTCTATGTCTATGTCTATGATCATTTTTCACTGCTTTAACGTAAGCCTTTTAGATATAAGCCGAAAACTGAAATTTTATCCCAAGTTCTATTTTTATTATAGTGGCCATGTTTGTTGACTAATCAAAATTCCGGATCTATTTTATCTAGATACCCTAAGGAACATTCAGCTAAAGTTTGGTTACATTAGAACCAAGTAGTTTCAGAGGAGATTTGACTACAGATGGACGACTATATACGCCAAGTTATCAGTTTGTATATTGGTCCTGGTTAGAGCAATGGTTCACATTGTATGTTGGTCCAGGTTAGAGCAGTGGCTCACATTTTACTCTGGTCCAGGTTAGAGCAGTGGCTCACGTTTTACATTGGTCCAGGTTAGAGTAGTGGCTCACATTTTACATTGGTCCATTTTAGAGAAATTGCTCACAATGGTCCGGGTTAGAGTAATAGATCACATGGCCAATTGGATATGGTGATTTGAACTAGTTTAACCTTGCAACAGGTTAATGTGCAATTACAAAGTCAAGAACCTTGTCAGTTGTTTTTTAACCTCAAGTTTGTTTCTTATTTGGAGTGTTTGGTCCTTATGACAAGATATTTGGTTGTTTTATGTATTCATAACATTTAAAACACGGCGTTATAGAGCTTGGTTTTGTGTAGACATCTGTCCATTGTTGAAGACTGTATGTTGACCTTTGCATTTATTTTGGTTATTTGCAATGATGCTTATACCCAACATTTCTTTTAATTCAGGTTTATATTTTATTTAGATAGGGTATCTGTGTATGGTGTTTAAATTGAAAAGTAACATAGGTCTTCATACGCTTCCCCTGATACTAAGTAATTTCAGGTTCTTAATTCAAAAACTCTGATAACTGTTGTATTTTTTATTATCTATCTGAACAGATGCGGATCAAGGATGAAAAAAAAATATGGGGGGGATGTCAAACAAGACAAAGTTTGGAGTGGAACAGGTAAAAAGACTGAAAGAACCATAAATCTATCTCCACAAGGATACCCGGGCACCATGCCCCCCACCTAAATCCACCTCTGCTGTATTAGTCATCTATCTTTATATACTATATATAACCAATAATTTATGAAGATGTTTGTTTTTGGATAACTTTATATTGTTTGGTTGTTGTCTCATTTGATATTTCTGGTAGCTTATATTTTTTGGTTTCAGTTTTGGATAACTTGTATTGTTTAAATGCTGTCTCGTCGATTTTTTTGTAGCTGTCTCAAGATATTTTTGATAACTTGTATTGTTTGGTTGCTGTCTCTCTGATGTTTCCGACAATTTTGATTATTTGATTGCTGTCACATTGATGTTTTGGATAACTTGTATTGTTTGATTGTGGTCTAATTGGTGTTTTAGATAATTTGTATTGTATGGTTGCTGTCACATTGGTGTTTTGGATACTTTGTATTGTTTGGTTGCTGTCACATTGATATTTTTAATAACTTGTATTGTTTGGTTGCTGTCTCATTGATGTTTTTGATGACTTGTTCTGTTTGTTTGCTGTCTCGTCGATTTTTTTGATGACTTGGATTGTTTGGTTGCTGTCTCATTGATGTTTTGGATAACTTGTATTGTTTGATTGTGGTCTAATTGGTGTTTAGATAATTTGTATTGTATGGTTGCTGTCACATTGGTGTTTTGGATACTTTGTATTGTTTGGTTGCTGTCACATTGATATTTTTAATAACTTGTATTGTTTGGTTGCTGTCTCATTGATGTTTTTGATGACTTGTTTTGTTAGGTTACTGTCTCGGTGATTTTTTTGATGACTTGCATTGATTGGATGCTGTCTCATTGGTGTTTTAGATAATTTGTATTGTATGGTTGCTGTCACATTGGTGTTTTGGATACTTTGTATTGTTTGGTTGCTGTCACATTGATATTTTTTAATAACTTGTATTGTTTGGTTGCTGTCTCATTGATGTTTTTGATGACTTGCTTTGTTTGGTTGCTGTCTCGTTGATTTTTTGATGACTAGGATTGTTTGGTTGCTGTCTCATTGATGTTTTGGATAACTTGTATTGTTTGATTGTGGCCTAAATGGTGTTTTAGATAATTTGTATTGTATGGTTGCTGTCTCATTGATGTTTTGGATAACTTGTATTGTTTGATTGTGGTCTAATTGGTGTTTTAGATAATTTGTATTGTATGGTTGCTGTCACATTGGTGTTTTGGATACTTTGTATTGTATGGTTGCGGTCACATTGATATTTTTAATAACTTGTATTGTTTGGTTGCTGTCTCATTGATGTTTTTGATGACTTGCTTTGTTTGGTTGCTGTCTCATCAATTTTTTTGATGACTTGGATTGTTTGGTTGCTGTCTCATTGATGTTTTTGATGACTTGTTTTGTTTGGTTGCTGTCTCATTGATGTTTTGGATAACTTGTTTAGTTTAGTTGCTGTCTCATTGATGTTTTGGATAACTTGTTTTGTTTGATAGCTGCCTCATTGTTGTAATTAGTTGCTGTATCATTGGTGTTTTGGAGAACTTGTTTTGTTTAGTAGCTGCCTCATTGTTGTTTTGGATAACTTGTATTGTTTGTTAGCTGCCTCATTGTTGTTATGGACAACTTGTATTGTTTGTTAGCTGCCTCATTGTTGTTTTGGAGAACTTGTATTGTTTGGTAGCTGTCTCATTGATGTTTTGGATGTCTTGTATTGTTTGGTAGCTGCCTCGTTGTAGTTTTCTTCGATAGTTTGTATTGTTAGGTAGCTGCCTAACTGTTGTTTTGGAGAACTTGTATTGTTTGGTAGCTGTCTCATTGATGTTTTGGATAACTTAAAAAATAAGAAATGCCAATGACACAACTCTCCACCAGAGACCAAAGGACATAGAAGTTAACAACTATAGGTCACTGCACAGCCTTTAACAATGAACAAAACCCATATCATTTAGTAAGATATACACGGCCCAGAAATGAAAAATGTGAAATAATTCAATGGAGAACTTATGGCCTGATTAATGTACAAAACAATAAATGAAAAACAAATACGATATACAGCAACAAAAGACAACCACTGGATTACAGGCTCCTGACTTAGGACAGGCACATACAAATTGTGGCAGGGGTTAAACATAAATATTGTATTGTTTGGTTGCTGTCTCATTGATGTTTTGAATAACTTGTATTGTTGGTTGCTGTCTCATTGATGTTTTGGATAACTTGTATTGTTTGGTTGTTGTCTCATTGAAGTTTTGGGTAATCTTTCTATTGTTAGTCCTTCTGAATATGAATGAATATTTGCCACTGGACAAAAGCAAACAACAATCAATCCATTCATCTCAAACTCATAATTTTTAAATATTTGAGCTTCTATTCTCTAGCATTGATAACCCAATATCATATTATATTTTTGAATGTTTATTTACACATCATAGCACTGATCATAATTTATCAATAAATTAGTTATTTTACAATAATACTGTACAAACATCACACAGATAACTTCTGTGTTATCATAACAACATAACAAACAGAATAGAAAGAAAGATTAAGTGGAAAAATAGAAAGAAAATTCATCCTACTAGAAATATTGCACACCACAAGTATTGTCTCTTGCAATTAGTTTTCAACATTTAAGCACTAGAACTTCTCCATTGTTCAAATGTCTCTTTCATACTTAATCATGATCAAGATTGTCATTTACATATATCATTTACCCTGTTAACACATTTTTGCCCTATTTCTACGTACTGAGTAAAACAATTTATCATACCCGTAAAAATCAATAAAAAATACATGCATTTACTCATATATAAAGTTCAAGTGTCATATCACAAATGAGTATTATAAATTAATGTCTAAACAATGTATTTTTTGAACACATAATGTCTATTGCACTAATCAGTGTTCACTATAAGTTGGCAAGAGTGTGGATCTGGGTGGTATCTTTCTGACGGAAACTCTCGCTGAAACGACGTAATTTCTTGGCTACAGCACGTTTGTTGTGAAGGTGAACCTCAGGTGATTGGTTGATGAAGAGCTTTTTCTTTGAGACTGGGTCACTTTGAGTCGATGATGGTCTGCGTAGTGGAGTAGATGTGATATTCTCAGCGCTCTTTGGTTTGTTGCGACGGAAACGGAACAGCTTCCATATCGGTACAATGCTTTTTGGTTTCTTGAAGACTTGGTCCTCTTTTGATGACTGAGACTTAACTGACGATGGAGGAGCTGGTGGACCAAGTGGTTCTGGCTCACTGACTGGGCTAGCTCTGGATGAGTAAGGTGAGTTGTTAGGAGCAAAGACACCAGTACTACTAAGACTGTTTGGACTGTCTGTGAGTAACGAGTCACACATTGCCTGGGTGTTGTGAGTGTCATTGCTGGTTGGTGGACTGGTGTTACTCCCACTAGAACTAGACTTGCCAGGGATGGCTGGACGATCCCCTAAGGATGAAGAGTGAGTACTGGCTGATGAGTTGGGAACACTTTGAATGTTGTCATTCTCAGATGTCATAACGCTGACCATGTCTGGCATAGATGCACGACTGGCTTCAATGGAACTCCCACTAGACTTGTTGTTACCATTGAGATCGGTCCTGGTACTTGTACGTGGCAGGGTCCTGGCCTTGTTGTAGAAGGTAACATCATCATACAGACTGTCGCTGATTACATCTTGTCTTCGGGTAGTTGAGGCAATCATGGATATTGATTCGTTGTTACAGGTTGACTCTGCAAGACTTGTTCCACAACTGGATGGTAGGACCTTCTTTGGTGGAAGTGGTGGTTTACTGTATACCCTGTTGATATTGCGGTAGTAGGACTCTTCTAGAGGAACATCGTCAGAACTCTCTTTGATGGACCAACAGTAGACGCTTTCCATGTCATCAGAGTAAACAGAGTTAGGTCTGCAGGATGATGAAGTTGGATCTTCAATCATAGTAGAGGATGCCCGAGGTATTGAACTAGTACGATGCTTACTGCTACCGCTACTGTGTGATGATGGTGAGAAGTCTTCAATCATAGTGGACGATGCCTGGGGTATGGAAATGCTACGACGGCTGCCAGACGAAGATGATGTGCGGTTACGTTGAGCTCTGCTGATACGCTTGGTCCTGTGACGACGTGGTGATGGTGATGAACAATTAGAGCTGGTAGAACGTGTGGTAGAACGAGATGGCTGACCAAAACCTGGTGGTATGTACTCTTGCTCACAGCCAACGACTTCTCTGGTGAAGATCTCTTCAGTAGCTGAGGCAGTGATGTTGTTTAAGTTGGCAACAGGAGTGTTGGTTAGTCTGGCTGTCAAGTTGTCAATCTTACTCTGGCGGTCTATCGTGAAGTCACCATAGTAATGAAGTCTGGACAAAAGTTCTTCTTGACGATCATCAATGTCTGGAACACACTGGTTGTCATCAGAGGAGTCTGACCCTGTTGACCTTGGATAACCACTGGAACCATTGCTAGCATTACTAATGTCTGATGATGATGGCTCTGGTTGGTCAATGTTTGGAACCAAGTTGGAAGGTGACACTGGCTTAGGTGATGGAATATAGTTACTGTTGTTGTCGATGATTAACGTCATGGCTGAGTCCTCATAGATGCTGTCACTACTGAGTGAGTTGATGGATACAAGAGGTCCCTGAAGCATCTTTTGAAGTAGTACATCTTCATCACAGGAAGTGGTATCTAAACAAGTGATGTGACTCATGCTTGGTGTTGTACGTTGTAAGAATGAAGGTGTTGGTGGGTTGCCCAATAGATGTCTGTTGACTGGGTACTCTGTTGGCTCTAAACCAACATCTGCTATGAGCGAGTTGAACTTCTGGTTAATGTCATCAATGTCAGTCTGCAAGGCATTCTCTTGGCGCTTAATTGCTAACTGTAATAAAAAAGAAAATATTTAATAAGTTAATTCTATAATTGCTCTACGCTTTCACATTCTATTACCTCTCTCTTTTTTTGGAGTTTTGGTACTTGCGAAATATTGAGTTATTTCCCCTTGACCAATGGGAAGGCATTTGCATATAAATTTTGGAAGTTATGAACATCAAGAAATAAGCATTATTTAGATTCGTGTGATCAATTGCATGGTTTTGTCTACCTCTTTTTATTTTCTTGTACAGATGTATTTCCTTCTTCATGGTGATGAATATATTTCTAAAGTCTTCAAATTCAAGTCTATCATAAGAAAAAGATATAAAATGTTGTATGAGTAACCTCCCTTTGTCCATGTAACCATCTTTCTCATAATATGCACTTCAAACAATGTGTGTTTCATAGACATCTACCATATATTTTTTTTGGATTACTAAGTAACTCAACAAATTAATATGGTTTTTATGCATCTTCTAGAAAATTCTTAAATCTAGATATCCGTAGTTACATTTTGGTGAATTTTTTTAAAACAAGTATTATGTGTACAGTAAAACCTCAATGTTTTGCACCTTACTGATCAAAGGATTGAGTAAAGTTTTCCATAATTTTAGTGCTTTTGATTCAATACTTATTATGCCCCATGCATTAGGTAGGCAACTGATTGACAATTAATTACAAAGTAGAATTTTACTTTTAAATTTAAGGAATGTGTTTTCCATTGAATACAAAAATTTTAAAAAAGACTAAGAAGGTTCCATATTATTTAGGTAAAGCACATTACCTTTTCATTTGTGACAGAAAATATAAAATATGAGTCTTATCATTTTTTAATTAATTATTCAAATATTTCACTTTCCCTCTCTAAAGACTAATAGATATATATGAATAGATAAAAAACCCCTCTTGGTAGCAGTTATACAAAAAAATCGCAGTTGTAACATCAAGTTATAGAAAGTCATTATCTTAATACAAAATTTTCCAACATTAGGACTACCGGTAATGATAACTAAATAAAATTTAATTTTCAGGAAATTGGATACATAAGTATAGAATTTAGAGTGAAATGAGATATGTGGACACCTGAAAAAAATAATGAATGGATAAAAGCTCAATATCATTACAATTTCATCACCAACACATAAATATTCAAAATGCCAAAATTACAAAAAAAAAACAGCTATTTTCCAACACAGGCTACTAAACTTATAAATGACTAAAAAAGGAGACAATTTTTAGATTTATTAATTAAGGAACATTCAAAGACACCAAGCTAAGATTCCAGCTCCCCAAGACTGACTTTTGACTTATAGTCCTCTTCAACTTTCTACTGTATATTGAGGTTTTACTGTACATGGTACTTTTATATTTATATAAATACATAAAATGCTTACCATATCAGCTTGCAGCATGAGGTACATCTCTTCTTGGTCAAGATGGTCAGAAACGTCGGACTCCATGCCTGTTTCCATCCAGTCTGAAATAAAAAATATACAGAAGATAAATAATAAGAAAAATAATTGTAATGAATTCTGAAATCATGAAAATGAAACATTGATAACTGATACTCAAATTTTCATAATAAAGTGATTGGTACCAGTTGTCAGTATGTTTAAGTACTAAATTACAAGTCTTAAAACCAGACTAGTACTAAATATTTCTTTGATTTCCACAGGGCAAATTCTTTAATCGTTTTGTTCAGAATGATCAATCTTCTGCAAGTCACAAAACCCCAACACTAAAAACCTGCTGTACTTCATCTCGCTGTTTGTAATTCAGAGTAAACAATTTACACATCTATGTTTACAGTATACATCACTTGATTTTTATATTCAAATAAAGTATAGTATTTATCCTAAGCAAACTACTAGTCAGCATACTGAACAGTGTCATTCATTACATTGTAACATTATATTGGACTTATGTACTTTTGATTCACATATTTACATTACAAATTAGAATAGCTGTCAATTTTCCCATGAATATTTTTCTGATCTTAAAAGAAAAATTACTGGTTTTGTTTGGCATTAATGGTCTAGTTCAAATTTCAATTCATACATTATAACTTCACATATAAATTTATACTTTAAAAGCTATCAAAGTCTTGAGAAAAAATATGATTTATGTTTTTTCTTCTTTCTTAAAAATAAAAAAATATATACTTTAAACCATGATTTCAGTTAAAATAAATATTAAGTCACATACCAAAATAGTTATTGACTGATCTAGGAGGAGATCCTAAGGAATCACTAGAGTAATCGTAGAGATACATATCCTCGTGCACTATTGTAAAAATTTCTCAGCAATAGATTCCAATAAATACCAGTAAGTTTATATACCACAAAAGGTTTGGACAACAATTTTATCCCCATCTGCTGTTCACAAGATCAACAGCTTGTTCCTATAACACCTTACACTCTGAGTTTCATACCTTGCAATCACTCTAGTAATAGTTTCCCTTTAAGTTAACCTTACACTTTTGATAATTTTTTTAATTGACCACACTTATCTAACAATCACAAGTGAACCCCTAATCCTATTAGGCGTGATATGGTCCATTAGGGTACCACACCAAACCCTTTCACCCTCTTTTTTAGTTAACAGTATAGGTGTTTGCACAGTAATTGACAATATGCTAATGAGAGAAATAGATTTCAATAGCAGGTGTTTGTCTTCATTTGAATATTGTAGGTTTCAACTTTTAAAAAAACAGTGTCTAGCCCCAAGGACTTTTTTCTAAAAGTCTTTTTGTAACTTTTCCATTCAGTGTAGATATATTTACATAACAGTGCTTTGTATTTGTATAATACAACAAAAGAGGATAAGTGGAATTAGAGCGGGTTGTCACAATTCTTTGTATTTTGTGGTAACTTTTCATTAAAATGTGTCATCGATTTTAAAACATTTTTCCTGTCTTTTGTCCTGGTGCCCTGCCCCAAAATTGAAAAATATGGCCCTTTTACAAATGTTACTTTAATCTTAAACTAAATTGAATAAACAGTCTTTAAACTAAAAACTCCTTTTTGGTAAACAGATGTTACAAAAAAAACAACATTGGAAATAACATTTACATTTCTTTACAAATATTATGCAAGAAGTCAAAATTTTGAATTTTACAAGTTTACAATCTGTTAATATTTCAACCTTTTTCGTTAAATTAATATCTAATAAATTAGTTTTTACACTCCATTAAACTATAACTAAATTTATGAATGAAAATAATCCAGGTCAATTTGTTGTGGAATTTTGTCTGACGGTTGACTTCTAATTTAAATTTTAAATAAGCTACTAATTTGCATTGTAATCCCACTATATCATTAGCTGCTCAAAGCTAGAAGCACTTCCCCTGGCATGACAGTAAAAAATATTCATCTCCATGTATGGGACAGATGTCCAAAGCTGGTGCATCTTTTCAGCATATTATAAGGGTGATTGAAATTCTGAATGAAATTTAGACAACTCCATAAACATAATACATTTACAAACTATCTGACACCACAGAAATGAAATAAACACTACATGCAAGAAATTGATCTCAACTTAATTTCAGACAGACAATCCACACTTTTGCAGACATAAATATTTGCATGTTTTTTTAAAACAATTTTATTATAAATACCCAATTTAAAGAAATAATCATATATTCACTAAATATTTCTATTATAAAGCCCAATCTTAAGACAAGTTTGCTGTTGGCAATCCATGAATTCAAAATTTCTCCTCTTAAACATACATGTTTATTTGCTTCAAAAAAGAAATCACTTAAAATTAAAAAGCTTCTTCAAAAGATTTTTTTAAGCATTCTTATATAGTAAAAAATTAAAAATACCTGTTAAAACAGACATCCAGTAATGCATTTTGTTATGTTAATTTCTAATCAAAGAATAAGAAGTGTGCCCTTTGTAAACTTTCTCAGGTATGAAAGTTCCACAGGTGTGCACAGGTAAAAGATAAAAGATGTTAATTTCTTCTCTTTCATCTCTAATTGATTCATTAAATATTTAACTTTTTCCAAACTCAGGGACTACTGATTCCGCTAATAAAGTAATACACAGGTATTACTTTCAACAGCCCCCTGCTAACCACATGCCTTTTATGTCTGTATATTTATGAATATACAGATAGCTACTGTGTTACTAATAAATCATAGTTTGTTTATGGTTTCTTAATAACCAAATTATACAGTGTAATTCCAATGGGGATATTGCTTGAAATATAATTAACCGAAAACTGATGAAATTTATCTGAAAACATCTCCATCCTTTTCAAAAGTGTCATTTTCTTGCAGCTCTAACAAAGTCCAGCAACTTGTGAAAAAAATTCAAGATGGAAAAAACTGAAATCATTAATAACCTAACAAAACTACCCTGATTTCCCCCTCTTTAATGATCCGACAGAATACAATTTTGCAGATTTCTCTTTATGTCAGCATTAATAATGAAACAATAAAATACAAAAAAAATTTGGTTGATAGGCAACAAAAAAAGTAAGAATTCAACAAAAATCATTCAAGTATCAAATAATCCTCAAAATGTTCCAATAGAAAATATTCATTCAATTACAAATTTTTTCTAAATACCTTGATTTTCCAGAAAGAGAGGATCAAACACATAGCTAAGACTATGTCTCTCCAATAACTGATCTAGTAACATGGTTCCTTATGATACAGTAAACTTAAATGATTGAAGCAGGACAAGACATGACTTTATATAAAATGGATCCATTTAAAAGGCTATTAAAATGGATAGATAGAGAGGACTGTTAAAAAAGCACAGTTTAATTCCAAATCAAAACAGAAACGTAGATAAAAATCTATTCTATATAGCTTTTAATCCATCCCAGGTGTTGAAAAACAACAGTTTTCAATTGTTTAGCCATTATTGTGTTTATTGGTAATTGGAACTTATCTAGCCATTAAAAAATTTCTTGTTGATCTTTCGTTAAAAAGGACAAAACATCAATATACCTATCAATCGATATCCTATCCACTTCAATTAAAGAGATAAAAAGTTGTAAACATTCGTATTTATATCTGAATGCAAAGTAAACGCTTTAAATCCGATTAAATAGAATTGATTCAAAATTCAATAATCCTGGTCCATGTCAGTATAGAAAGCTTCGTGTTTGTTACAGACAAAGAAGGTTTTATGGTCCCTGAACAATAAGTGTTGATAGTCTTCCACAAATGATAATTTCAGAAACAATTTTTTGTTTTATCAAGAACATCCTGATCACCACACTTTTCTAATTAGACCATAACAAATGAATATCTTATGGTTATTTCAAAGTGTGTCCAGGCCTCTGATAAGAACAAAAGAAATTTATTTATCTATAGAATTCATTATTATTTCATGAATATTCAATGGCCAGGAAATCTGGCAAGTTAATTACTAACAGTTGATATTAATTAACATATACATGAAATATTCCAATCAACTTTGTATGTAAGGGAGATAATTAGCCCATAGAACCAGGAAATATCACAGACCTGTAGACCTTTGTAGTATTGCATTTTGGTATCAATATTTTTTTTTAAGATTTGTAATCTTTCAAATCTGTTAAAGTTGCTTAAGGTAACCATTAGATGAAAATCCAATTTTGCCCAGATTTTAACACCCAAATCATGAAAATCCCATTATCTTAATGTTTCTGATGATTAGAGATTTAAGCTTAATAAAAATCTTTTTTAAAGAGATAATCACTAGATTTACTTTGTAAAAATGATAAATCCATTCATATCTGATATTGTAAGTATTATTTCTTGTCAATAACTGAACACAGGAAGTTTTAGAAAAGGGACAATTATTTTCAAATTGAATTGTCTGGGATTTTTAGTTTTTTATGTCCTGTTTGCTAGATTTTACTTTGGTCATTGGTGTGTAAGATTAGCTAAACATTTAGGTCATAAAACTGGACAAAAGCAATTACAATTTTCAACTAAAGTTGAAGATAGTTGTGTGTTGGCAATAAAACCTTTGAAAACATTTTTATGGCTTAATAAAAATGTTAAAATCATTTGATTTAAAGATTTGTCTATTGTCTTGCTTATCAAAATCAGTTCAATAATTGAAAAGAAACAAAAGTGGTAGTCTACTGCTTTTACAGATGTCTGAAAGAGGTGGCCTGTTTGCAACAAAATCCACCCCATCTCAAACATCACATAAACATTTTTTTCAAATACATAAAAATCAAACATGGTTTCAAGTTTATCACTGTTGGCAGGATAGTTAAAAAAGAAAAAAAATTGAGCCAAACATATATATGTATTGCACCCCAAACCCCTCTGGTTTTATCCTTGGTTAAAAAGTATTTACCCACATTCCAAACAACTGTTTACTTTTGTAATATTTAGAGATCATTATGATATTTATCAACTAGATACATATAATCTTGTTCATACCAAATATTATGAGAAAATTGCAATATAAGAGTATTTTGATCCAGTCATATTAATCAGATTGGTCCAAATCAAACAAA